TAAATCATCAAAGGTTCATGAGGGAGGAGGGAGCATGGAGGAGGGAGGGGAAAATGAGGAGCTGATACCAAGGGCTCAAGTAGAAAGCAAATGTTTTCAGAATGGTGAGGGCAGCAAGTGTACAAATGTACTTGACATGATGGGTGGACAGATTGTGATAAGCATTGTACGAGCCTCCAATAAAATGAGTTATATTAAAAAAAGAAGAAGAAGAAGAACTAGAGAAAAGCTGTATGTTTCCTCAGAGCTATACTGCACCCTGAAGGGGGGAAAAATGGATGGTGAATTTTACCGAATGCCTTTTCTGCATCGACCGGTATAATCATCTGGTTCTTAACTTTTGCTTTGTCTATGTGGTGGGTTACATTGATTAGTTTTCTAATACTGATCCATCCTTGCATACCTGCTATGGTTCCCACGCGATCAGGATGTACTGTTATCTGGAGGCTTTGTTGAATTCTGTTGGCTAGACTGTTGTTGAAAATCGTGGCATCTATATTCATCGGGGAAATTGTCCTGTAATTTTCCAATTTTCTGGTGATATCTCTGCCTGGCTTAAGTATCAGGGTTCTACTTGCTTTCTAAACTTAGTTTGGTAGTCTATTGTCATTTAAGGTGAAACAGTTCCTGTAAGGTTAGTGTTAACTCTTCTCTACATGGTTGGTAGAACTCCCTAGAAAAAGGTCCTGGCCTTTTTGACGCTGGGAACTTTGTTAATGAGCAGATCTATTTGGAAGCCACTATTTTGGTTGGACCTTTTGGGTTTTTCAGAAAGCCTTCAAGAGAGATTAAAATAAGCGCATGACTAGAGCATCTGTTTACAGCCATCCACTGATCACAGAAGTGAGTAAGACGTTTGGGTTGGAAACAACCATGAATGTGTGGATCGGAACCCTAGTATCGATTTTCCGGACTTCATCTCATAGTTCAGTGCTTCGTCGCAGGGAAGTTTAAGCAAGAAAGGGCAATAGGAGATGGGTGGGGCACGAGAGTGACCAGGAACACCGGGAGGAGAGGTGGATGGGAAAGAAAGCCCTTGGGAGCCCCCCGAGCCGCAAAGTTTGAGGAAACATGCTTTCTGGAGGAGTTGTAAAGGAGAGCTTCAAAGGAGCCAGGGCCATCAGCAAGACTGGGGGAAAACATCCCCTACCTTGAATTTTCCATGGCTCTCATCACCTATGCGATTAAACCCAGTTCCTTGGGATAATAGATAGCCTAGACCCCCCAGCTTCACCCAACAGGCTGAGTCCACTACAGCTAACAGCTGCCCTGTTCAGCCACTTCCCCACGATTTCCTGGCCCTGCCCACCTCCCCTCCACATAGCCTGCAAACCCTGCTGTTCCCAGCATGCACCACACATGTTCCTGCTTCTACCTGGACTGCCCTTTCTGCCCACAGCCTAGCTGACAAGCACCTACTCAGCCCCTTCAGTCCCAGCTCTCTTGTCACCTCCACTAGGAGCTTGCAGTCAAAGATGGTATTTAAGTATGCATTCCCTGCTCTGAAGTTGGGGAGCTGTCCTCCATCTTTCAGTATCTGAAGTTTGGGGGGAAGTAGCTGCCCCCACCTCCACCGTCACGGCCCAGCTCTAGCATGATGTGATGGCTCAGGTCTGACCTAGCAGATCCCCTCGCCCTGGACAGCAGTGGCTGGCCCCGTAGCTGGAGCTGGAGGTGTTTAAGCTAGGTCCTTGCCTTCCCAGACCAGGTGGAGCGCTCCTGCCCCGGGAGGGAAGGGCTACTGAGAGGGAGTTGTCCCTGAAGATAAGAAGGCTGAGAGGAAACAGACTACGCCTCAGGAAACCGCCCCAGGTCATGATGCAGGGCTGGTGAGTTTGAACTGGTGGCTCTTCCATTAGCAGCCCAGCGCTTAACCACCTACACCACCAGGGCGCCAATGAGGATCCATAATGATGATCCCCTCCTAAGGGTTCCGTTGTGTGTTCTCTACAGGACAGCACAGGGTGACCTTATAAGGCACAAATCAGTTTCTACCCCAATCTGGCTTAAAACCCTCCTGGCAGTCTCTCATGCCAGGTGGAATAAACAGCAAGCCGGTCATGGGGGCCTGCAAAGGTCTGCACAGCCTGGTCCTGCCCACCCCACCAACCCCACTCCCCCGGACTTCAGGGGTGCACGCCACTGGCCTGGCCCACACCAGCTCCTTCCTGCCTCAGGGCCTTTGCCCTGATGTTCCCTCTCCCTGGAAGCTCCCCCCACCCCCCCCAACGCCCATGTCCACAAGGCCCACTTCCTTTCAAAGTGGAGGTCTCAGCTCCAAGATCACCCCCCCATCACACCACCTCACTAGGTGCGCACACAGCCCGATCACTCGCTAAGACGATCCACTCACCCAGGGTGCGTGGACTCAGAGCCTCCGCTGGAAGGCGAATCCCAGTCTGTGTCTGGCACGTAGCAGGTGTTCATTAAAGAAAGGAGTGGCTGACTCCTTGAGGCTTCCGAATCCCGAGAGAGTAAAAGAAACCTTCGTCCCTGGTAGTAACCAAGTCCCTTGTCCCCTCTTCCCCAAATTCTGCGGTCTCTCTCCACTAAGTCACCCCCAAGGGCAAGAGTTTGGGCCTTAGCTCCCAGCCTCAGGCTGGCCTGTCAAGGTGCCTGGCGCTCTGTGGGCCCAGCGAGTGTAAGACTTCAGCATTTGCTTTCAGGTGGCCCTTAGGGCCTCCCTGCCCTCATCTGTGCACCAGGAACAATGTCACCGGCCTGGGGCTTGTCGTGACCACGAAAGGGTT